TCACGGCTTTGTGGGTAGAGACCCTCCTAACAGCCAGGGGGGCCATTCTTTGCTAAAGATAAGGTGGGAGAAGAGAAATGGAATTGCTTCTTCCTTCATTCTTGCTTAAATATTATTTGTATTACCTAAAGATTTCACAATGTGAAAATTTACTTTAGAATTTTTCTTTTCACATTATAAGGTTTTCTCATTATTTGGCATTCAGTTACCCTTTCTTGGCAAGACTCAATCTTTTTTCATTAGGGATTATTCTAGGGAAGAAAACTGTTTATGGCTGATTACTCCATTTGAATTTGTTCCAAATATTCTAATAAACAAATCTATAAGAACCTTACAGTTGCTTTCATTTAAAATAGTGATGACATAAGAAGTCACAGAATGTTTGCACATACAAATGGAAAAATTATTTTTCTTGAAAAATGACCCCAAAGATTTCTGAAAATCCAAATTTTTACCAAAGCTAAATACATCTTAAGTTGGTATGTTGTCCTTTAGCTGAAATATTTTCTTGTTATATGTACTATTGCTTTCAGAAATTTGTGAAGTTCTTAATTCCCTAGGATGAGATTGGGGAGCTATAGGAGTATGTGTTCAATTAGGAAAGAATTAAACTTAGAGATATACTTTTGAATGATAAGCTAAAGAATACTGGTTTTCCCTATGAAAATGTTCTGTTATTAGCTTTTCCACTAAGTTAAATTATAGCATTTTCTGTGTTAGGTATAGAGCTTAATAAAACTCATCACATGAATGATATAAAACCTCAAAGTAAATTACATTTTGGTTACCTTACCATAATTAAGAAGAGAAAAATCTAAGTAACTAATTTTAATGTTGTTAAATGTTTTCTTTGTTTGTTCTATTAAATAATTGTTTTGGTGAGGTATAGTCCTACTAATTAGGTCAATTTTTATGTAGTTATACAAACATAACATCTTTGTTTTCCTATGAAAAAATTTCCCAGTAGGCAAGAGTAGTCAACTACCTTTGTACAGTAGATACTGACATTATATTTATGTGTCTTTATATTTTTTAAGCACCTACTTTGGTTAATTCTATATTACCCTGAAAGAATGAGATAATAAGGAGCTTGTGTGGATATATATGTAATCATTTGGGGCTATTTGTAGATTCACTCCTTAGCTATACGTTATTGTGTATTCTATAACCATGCATAGATACATGAAGTATCTACAGTTACCCTCTATGAAAGAAGCATTTATTTCCCAGGGATAAAACCCAAGGTGTGAATTTTTTAAACAACTGATTAAGGATGCTCACTAAAAATTCCTATGATATAATGTCTTAAATATCATTTTTAAATGATAAATCTGAGCTGCAAAAATTAAGCTAGCAAAACACAAAAATTAAAATATACAACAGTTGCTGTTACTTTACAATCTGATGGTTGTTATATTTCCATTTTTCCCAAAATAAGAGAAATATGTTACATATATTAAAAAAGCAATAGCTGTGTAATCTTAGTTTCTAGTACATTATATTTTACATAATATGTTAATTAAGATATTGAATTACTTTTAGATATATTTGAATTAGAGAATTTAATTGCATATTAAACTAAGTATGCTAGAATGTCAAAAACAAAGTCCTATTATGTTTTGGAGGCTAGATACAGGTTTTTATGTGAGAATATTAAAATTATACTAGAAAACATGCTAATACATACACATAAGGAAACTTGGGACCAGGAGATGGCATAATGTTTATGTCACTGGACTCCCATGAAGTTGAAGATGGTTTGAGTCCTGGACTTGGTGGCTTAAAACTCATGCCAGGCACTGATGTGTGTGCCTAAAGTCTTGAGAGAAAAATGGAGGAGAAGGGATTGTGGTTTTGCCATCCTCCTGAAGGGTGATTTCTCACTTTCTGTCTCTCTGTATCTCTCTGGCTCTTCAACAAGTATAGGAGGCCTATAGCACAAAAAAACTCTCTGAAAAAAAAAAAAGAAAGAAACCCATGCTCAGGAAAATATCTTGTCTACTGTCATTTATAAGGAGTTAGAAAACTAATTGTTGAAGTACTGTATAGTGTATTTTTGTTATTATGGAAATTTATCTTTGGAAATAAATTAGTGGTTTAAACTGAAAGCCTGGTAATATTGTCTTTCCGTAATTACATTATCAGAGCTTTGATGAATTAAATTACTGAAAATAGTTTACATACTCTATTTTTTATAAGTAAATAATTAAACATATCAATAGATTTATTCGGTTAAAATCTGATGTTGATGGTTAAAGAAAGTAAGAACACTAAATCTTATATAAAGTAAACTGTGAAAGAAAGAGAAGTACATATAGACTACTTCATTCTCTTATGTTCCGCAAGTGTGTTTTTCTCCATCTATAGCTTCAACGACACCAGAACTCCTTAGTCTGCAGGAGGCAGTATTGTGAATAAGACATACAAAATATTCATCACAGCAGGATTCTAAAGAAAGCTGAAACTCTACACGTATCCTTCCCTTCTGAAAATCTATGTCGATGGAACTCTCTTGTTCACATTTGTGGTTTGATAATTTTCCTCAGTGGTAAATAACCAGAAAGTTTAGGTTTCTATCTATTCTTGTCCCATTGTTTGTTGTCTTCACCAATCAGATCTAGAGACTTTGAGAAATCAGTATTTTTGTTTTAAATTTTATTTATTAGCAGATGTTTGTGTGCATTTATTTTGACTCTTTGAGAAGCATTATGGAGACCAGCAGAGGAAGTAATGATTATGTCACTGGACTTTCATGTGGTTGACCATGGATCTAGTCCCAGACCTGTTGGCTTAAAACACATCAGGTGCTTGTACATGCATGCCCAAAATCTCAAGAGGAGGATGGAGGAGAAGAGATTGGGGCATGGCCATCTCCTCTGAGGGGTGATTTCTCATTTTCTGTCTGTCTTTGTCTCTCCAGCGAGCACATGCTCTCTACAACAAAATTCTCTACTTAAAGAAAAAAGAAGCATTCTGAGTAACACTAAAGGTCAGGCTTTTAGTATTCCCTCCCCAAAGAAAATCTTTTTGAAGATTAAAAAATTACTAGCTTCACTTAATTATTACATTAATATTGATATTATTTATGCATATTTACTTATTAACTATCATTCATTGTTTAATTTTTTGATCTTTTATTACTTTTCTGCATTTTAGAACTCCCTCTAATGATGGGTTCAACTTTTTTCTTAATATTCTGCTTACTTCTCATCAAAATACATTTCATCACAGGTAAATACTACTATTTAGATATACTAAAATAGATAATTTATAAGACAAAATTTTATTCTATGTTTGAAAGGGGTTTGTGAGTTATAGTTGTACTATTGTTTTTATCCTGGACTATGTCTGTAATTTCTTCTGGTGCAATGTTCACAGTGAAACATTCAAGAACACTAACAATAGGTATCATTTATTGAGTCTTTACCAGGTTCCAAGTAATGTTTTAGGCACTTTAATTGTTGTAATAAAAAAAAAACCACTAAAGAAGCAAATAATATTGGCACCCTCTTCTAAAAATTATGTAACTGAGGCACAGAGAGATTATGAAGTTGCCCAAAGTCATACAGTAAGTGGTGAAGCTGGAACTGCGACAGACGCAATGTAGTTGCAGAGTCCACAGTATTCACTGTGGCACACTTTCCGAGGATAGTTTCGACCTTACGTAGTGGATGAGAAACTTACAGTAATTTTTTCACTGTAATTATCAACTTCCATTTACAATTAGCACGTTTTTTTTTTCAGGTAACAGTGATATGCATTGAAATTGTTTTCAAATTATGAAAATATGAGACAGTATCTACAGAATAGAACAAAGTGAGACTGTACCAATAGCATCGTAGTAGTTCTACTGGAAAGGAGTCTAAGATTGTCTAGTTAGAGCCCTTTATTTTCTAATGAGCAGAGGCAGACTTGCAATTCCATTTAGAAGATGACTCAAATCCATGCCTTACATTGAATTCAGAATCTTCTCTCGAGTATACTTCTTTCTGGAATTTGTAGACCGAGGTTCTAGTTTTGAGAATTCTCAGTACCTAGGTGGCACTATAAATGAAATCATGTCTTCCTATCTTCTACTTCTCTTATCAGTGTCTATTACCCCCCTCACTTACTAACTCACCTCAAGAGCTATGAAAAAAAATATATAGGTGCTAATGCAATAGTTGGTGATAGTCATCAGTCATTTTAATTCAGTTTTTAATTTATTTGCTGAGACTCAGGATAGTGTATTAATAAATTGTGGTATAGGAAAGGATAAAATGGAGAGAATTATAGCTCCTTATAAAGCTGATGGAATCAGACCAAGTAATCGCTATGAGGAACAATGTGCTAAATTATTTTTCAGTTATTTGATACAGTTTAAAGTATTGAAACTTAAGGAATGTATGATGATTCAATATCTTTTGAAATATAAAGGACTGAACACCTAATAGTGAAATTCCATAGTATTGAGTGAGAAATTGAGAAGAAGTGTAATTTTTGGTGCTACATAGATTATACTGTAAAGTTACTCACTACAAATATTAAAAACTGCAAGGACTGACTCTATGTGAGTGTATTTAGTTATTTAGCATTTATTGCTATTACTGGAGAATAAGTTTTTAGAAAGCAGAAACTCTCTATTTGTCATTGCTGATTTCTAGACAAAGAAATAACATAGTTGAAATAAAGAGTTATTCAACATGTACATGACTGTTGAAACTTTGACTGCTTTTCTCTACAGTATATACACTAAGACAGAGCTATAACCTTTTACCTGTAGGTCCAGCAAAATCATTGGAGGAGAAATAAAATTGTCAAGGGAAGATCCACTGGGCTCTTTGGAAGAGGAATTAAATAGCTATGAACTAAAGGTTTGTTATGTATAAACCACTGCAGAAGATAATAGCGATGAAAATATGCAATGTGACATAGTGGATGTAATAGCTCTGTTCACAACTGCATTAGAGGTTCTGTTCTTCTGAGCCGTAACCCCTGAAACAGGCCTTCTAGAAGAGTAAATGGGACAGAGTAACAATGTCACAGAATTTATCCTCTTGGGCCTTACTCAGGATCCTCTTGGGCAAAAAGCATTATTTTTCATGTTTTTATTCATATATGTTGTGACAATGGTGGGCAACCTGCTCATTGTGGTGACAGTGGTTGCCAGCCCATCCTTGGGCTCTCCAATGTACTTCTTCCTTGTCTATCTGTCACTCATGGATGCTGTTTATTCCACTGCCATTTCACCCAAATTGATTACAGACTTACTATATAATAAAAAGACTATCTCCTTCCCAGCCTGCATGGGACAGCTTTTTATAGAACATTTATTTGGGGGTGCGGAGGTATTTCTTCTGGTGGCAATGGCCTATGATCGTTATGTAGCCATCTGTAAGCCACTGCACTATTTGACCATCATGAATCATCAGGTTTGCATCCTGCTGCTGGTGGTGGCCTTGGTCGGAGGTTTTGTGCACTCTGCGGTTCAACTTCTATTTGTGCATAGTCTCCCTTTTTGTGGCCCCAATGTCATCGACCACTTCATCTGTGACATGTATCCATTACTGGAACTTGCCTGCACTGACACCTACTTTATAGGACTCACTGTGGTAGCCAATGGTGGAGCAATTTGTATGGTTGTCTTTATTGTTCTACTAATCTCCTATGGAGTCATCATAAATTCCCTAAAAACTCACAGCCAGGAAGGGAGGCGCAAAGCTCTGTCTACCTGTAGCTCCCACATCATGGTGGTGGTTCTCTTTTTTGTTCCATGTATTTTCATGTATGTTAGACCTGTTTCCAACTTTCACATTGATAAATCCCTAACTGTGGTTTATACAATCATCACTCCCATGTTGAATCCTTTGATATACACCTTACGAAATTCAGACATGAAAAATGCTATGGAAAAACTTTGGTGTAAAAAATTAACTATAGGAAGGAGAATATGTCTCCCACATTGAACATATCTGTTACTAATTATGAATAAGCAATCAGGCAACAAATTGTAACAATGGATAATACAGTCAGTTCAATGGGCTCTCTAGGGATGCTTCTCTTTCTTTATACAGAACCATAAAAAAGTACGAAGAGTTAGTCTTTAAAATTAGAATCAATCTAACAGAAAAATTCTGAAAGACTATTTGTCTTATAACATGTAAAAATAAAATAAGCTCACCCTGTAACTCATTATATTGAAATAGAACTTAAAAGAAAGTGTTTATTTCTTTTCAAAATAGGAAAAAGAATACTTTCAAAAACTTATCATCACCCAAATTGATAGCAAAGTAATTTACTCAATACTTAGAACAAATTTTTAGAATAAAAAGAGTAATTTCTTTTTTATTTGCCAAAGGGTGTGTGCATTCACTTGGAGGGTAGTGAGGAGAGACAGAGTGAGAGAGATGAAAGAGAGAGTGAGAGAGAAAGTGAGAAAGTACCTCCTGTGGGACATGGTCATCCTGAATTCCCTTCTCCTTTTTTTCCTACTGTTGGGATTTTAGGCACACACACATGTATGCCCAATGAGTTTCTCAAGCTGCCAGGTCTGGAACTTGAAGCACACAGTCAAATACGTGTGTGGCATCCAGTTACTTTAATACACCATAGGTTAGCCCCAAAACAGTGATTTTTTTTGAGAGATTTTTGATGTAAGGTACATGTCTTTCCAGAGAGAGAGAGAGAGAGAAAGACAGAGAAAAAGTGAGAAGTCACCCCCTCAGGGGGGTGGCCACACTGCAATCCTTTCTCCATTCTTCTCTCAGGATTTTGGGCATGCATGTACATGTGCTCAGCATCAGTTTTAAGTTGCCAAGTCTAGAACTCCAGCTGAGGCCTACTATGTGGGAGTACAGTAATGTAACCATTATTCTATCTACAGGTCCCCAAACAGTGATTCTTAAATATTAATATTTATTATTTTATCAGCATAGCCAACTTTCTGTAGCTACATTATGCACGTTACCTGAAAATTACTTCCATTTCCCAAGTTAATGTTTACAAATTTTCAATTCAGGATATTTGCATGGTAAATGATACGATGTTTGGTTAAAGGTACCATCAGTGAATCATTTTGTTTAATGGAATGTGGTTGATGGTGAAAATAAATTCTTGATTGTATAAGAGATGTTTCATTTTTATTTTGAAAGTCATCCTATCCAAACGGGTAACCATACTTTTACAATTTTTCCCACTAGTCACTATATACATTTTTGCTATTTTTCAAAGACTAGGTAAGGGCTATTTATGTTTATTATGTGGACTACATGAGTAAAAAAAAATGTGTTATTTTGCATATGCAGTGGGTCCCCTGAAGGTTTTATTCAACTTAAATATTTTATTTAAAAATGATTTGTTTTTCTTGTTTTGTTTTTTATTTTTATTTTATTTATTCATTTATTTATTTTAATTTGACCAGAAAGAGAGACACAGAGAGAAAGAAATAGAGGGAAAGTGAGAAAGCAAGCCACCAGGTCTGGGACTCGAACCATGGTAGACCATGGTCTACCACGTGGGCGTGTCCAGCTCCTTAACCACCACGCCCCCTGCTGGTCCCAAAATTATTTGTTTTTGCATAGACAAAACTTTATAACACGTTTTTCTCAGTCTACAGCCATCTTGGGACATCACAACAGGAAAAAGAGAGGATTGTTTTCATTGTTATACAGAACATCATCTATGTTTTGTAAGATTTTACCTTTTAACTGAAAAAATATTTTAAATTTTATTATTTAAAAACTATAATTTTATGAATATCTATTATGTATAATTTATTTATACTTTTTTATAGTCTCTTACCTAGAATATTATCAATATCATTAAAACTACCTGTCTATATCTTCCTGATGCCATTCCTCTACCTCTTCTGAGGTAATTCCAATGCTGACCTTTTTGGTAATCATAGTTAAAAACAGTCTAATTACACACTATGTATCCTGAAATTATATCATTTATATTTTTTCTTACCTTTATTAAAATTATATAATACAGTACATAGGTTTCTGAATTTTTTAATCACAGTGCTAACTTTCGTAGGTTTGATCATGTTGCTCTGTGGCTTTACTCCCATCATTTTCCTTGCTGTACGTTGTTCCTTATGGGGATAAGCCACAGGTTTTGTGTTCCTTCAGTCAGTGGCTCTGTATTATGTCTAGGTTTTATATGGTTTCCGTGAGTATCCAGAGAGGAATTCTTTTGGGTTAAACAGGATGTTTACACATTCATTTTTATAGATGATAGCAACGTTTTCTTTAATGTTGTATTATAAGTTATATTCCTACCAGTAGTGTGTGACCAGATGTGAAATATTTATTCATATAGAGTATAAATATAGAGTAGAGCCCCATTACTCTAATTCCTTATTGACACCTAATACTGTAAGATTATTGACATTTTTGTGAATGTAACGGGTGTAAGTCTGTGAGTTTATTGCAGTTTTATTTTTCTTTCTTTATGACTGTTGAAGTTGACCATATTCTTTTAAAATATTTTTTGTTAGTTTTTTTTTTTCCATAAGGCGCATGTGCTCACCAGAGAGAGAGAGAGAGAGAGAGAGAGAGAGAGAGAGAGAGAGAGAGAGAGGCAGACATAAAGAGAGGGAAAATGAGAAATCACTCCCCAAGGGCAATGGCCACATTGTAATCCCTTCTCCTCCATTTTCATCTTGGGATTTGGGGCATGCACACACATTATCCTGGCGTGATTTTCAGACTTTGAAATGTAGATGACCATGTGGGACTCCAGTGCTTTAATCACACCATCTGCTGGCCCCCAGCATATTCTTCTCTGCTTATTGGACATTGACTTTTTCCAGTCTTTTATAAAATGAGTATTTATGTCTTTTGCCAATCATTTATTTCACCCATTATAATTAATTTTTTGCAGTTCCTTAGGAATTATGTATACTAATTCAATATTTTATGTATTATAGAGTCTCTTTTTTTAACACTATTACCATTTTATTCAATGAATAGGAACTACTTTATTGAACTTTTTATTTTTATTTTTTAATATTTATTTTTAAGTAGGCAAAAATTGCATCTATTTATCATGTACAACATGTTGACTTGACCCATGCGTAAACAATGTACAATAGCTAAGTTGAGCTATTAAATGTATTAGCTCAAATACATTTAATTTTTGTGGTAAGAACACTTATAATTTACTTTTTTTTAAGGTGTTTGCTATTGGGTGTGTGTGCTCACCAGAAAGAGAGATAGAGAGAGAGAGCAGGAAAGTGAGAAATCATCTCCCAGAGCAGATGGCTATCCCACAACCCTTTCTCCATTCTCCTCCTGGGATTTTGATCACATGTGCCATACATCCAGCAAGATTTTTAAACCATCAGGTTTGGGATTCAAACCCTGGTTTGCAGTGTGAGAGTCTAACACCTTAAGTACCATGCCACCTTCTGGCCCCTGTAATTTGCTTTCTTAACAATGGCCAGGAATATAATACATTATTATTAGCTACAGTCACCATTTGTACAAGGTATCACTTGAATTTATTCTTGTCTAACTGAAATTTCATATCACTTGACTAACCTCTACCCAGTATTTTCACTCTAGCCCCTGGAAAGTAGCATTTTAATTCCATGAATGTAATTTTTTAGATTCCATTTATAAGTGATATCATGTGATATTTGTCTGTGCTTGACTTATTTCACTTACAATAATGTTCCAATTTCATCCATGTTTTTGCAAATGGATGAATTTTCTTCTTTTTAAAGGCTCAATAATATTCCATTGTGTATACATATCATAATTTAAAAAGTGGTATATATACATTGGCTGGTTACTATGAATAATGTTGCAAAACATGAAAGTGCAGATATCTCTTTGACATATTGGTTTCATGTCCTTTGGATACTACTCAGTAGTGGAGTTACTAGACATTATAGTGGAGTTATTCTTAATTTTGAGGAAACTTCATGCTGTTTATCATAATGGCTGGACTGATTTATATACAATCAGCCTTGCTAATATATTTATCCACATTATTTCCACAACTATCTTTCATCTTTATAGTAATAGTCATTTTAACAGGTATGAGATGATTTTTTAATTGTGACTGTAATTCATATTTCTCTGATGATCATTGATTTTTGAACATTTTATTATCTATCTAAAATCATTTGGAACTCTTGTTTGAGAAGTATGTATTTGCATTTTTTTTTTGCCCATTTTCGAACAGGTTATTTATTTTCTTACTCCTATTATTATTACTATTGGTTTTCTGTTGCTTTGAAAACCTATTTATTTATTTATTTTTTTGGAGAGGTTTCTGCTACAGGGCGTGTGCACTCTCCAGAGAGACAGACAGAGACAGAGAGACAGAAAGTGAGAAATCACCCCCCAGGGGGGATGGCCATGCTGCAATCCCTTCTCCTCCATTCTTTTCTCGGGATTTTGGACATGCACGTACACGCTCCAAGCATGAGTTTAAGCCACCAGGTCCAGGACTTGAATCACGGTCAACTACATGAGAGTTCAGCAACATAGCCATTATGTTAACTGCTGGTCCCGTTTTGAAATCATTTTTAAAAAACTAATTTATAAAATATACTTAACCTTCTCAGTTGATAATCCCCAAAGTAGACAAGTGGGATTACATCAGACTAAGAAGTTTCTGCAAAAGACACAGTAATTAGTGTCAATAGACAGCCCACAGAATGGGAAAATATTTTTGTAAACTGCATCAGATAAGGGTCACAAGGAATTGGAGCAGCTGTTTCAAAAAAAGATAATCAATCCTATTAAAAGATGGGAGAAAGAGTTGGAATAACCACTCTCTAAAGATGACATAAGAATAGCTAAAAGTCATATGAAAAAATGCTCAACATCCCTCATTGTAAGAGAAATGCAGATCAAAACAACAATGAGATATCACCTAACCCCAGTCAGAATGTCTAAGATTAAAAAGACAAAGAATGATAAGTGCTGGAGGGGGTGTGGTGAAAATGGAACTCTCTTACACTGCTGGTGGGAATGTAAATTGGTCTAGCCACTGTGGAGAACAATTTGGAGA